GAAGGGGAAATAATATAAGGTGAGTGGTATTGATTGATAATTGCTATTAGAAAGAACAGGAAGCCCCTGTTCGTATTGTATTGTGTAAATGTGGTGTACGTCTAAGTTTTGTGTGCGTGTATTTTACATGTTTGTTAATAAAAAATTGAAAATTGAAAAAAAAGAAAAAAAAGAAAAAAAAAGAAAAAGCACCTTTGGGACAACCGTGACCTGGATGACTGAGAATCTCCATAAACATCATTAAACTCAGTAGATAATTTCTGACTTATCTTCAACTTTCTTATTGTGGGAATATGTAGGGAGCCATGAAAACATTCAGAAGCCATTACAAAAGCAAACAGTATAGAAGCATACTTTGAGCCTTGGGAAAGGGGAAAATATTAGGAAGAAGCTTGGGCTGGCTCTTCTCTGATTCCCTGGAGGAAATGACGGGAGAAATGAGGATGGAAGGGGAAACTTGGAAGATTTGCTTAACATAACCTATCCGAATAAACCCATTACTCTAATCTTTTTGTAGTTGCCTTGGTTATCTCTCATTTGGATTACTGTAATGCAATCTTAACCAGGTTGCTCTTAAGACCACTTTTACCATGTAATTCTCTTACCTTGGTGGAATATGAGTCATATTTCATTTTCAGCCTCGTGCAGTTTTTTGTTGTCTGACAAAGGAAGCAGATAAGAACAAAAATATATATAAAATTCCCAAAGCCATGTTTTGTATGCTCTCTACTCTCAGTACTTTAGATGGTTTCCAGGCATACAATCAGAGGTGGTATTCAGCCAGTTCTGACCAGTTCTGATGAACCAGTAGCGGAAATGTTGAGTAGTTCGGAGAACCAGCAAATACCACCACCACCTGGGTGGCCCAGCCCCCATCTATTCTCTGCCTCCTGAGTCCCAGTTGATCAGCTGAGTCTTCTTTTGTTGCCCTACACAGGAAAACAAAGCTGGAAAGGAGGTTCGTGGGGTGGGGAGGGAATGGAGATTTTGCAGTATCCTTCCCCCTGGAATGGGGATTTTGTAGTATTCTTCCCCAGCCACACCCACCAACCCACGCCCACAGAACCCGTATTAAAAAAAATGGAATCCCACCACTGCATACAATACAGTTGGTTCTCAATTTACAACAGTTCATTTAGTGACTGCTCAAAGTTACTGAAAAGGCACTGAAAAAGTGACTTATGACCATTTTTCACACTTTATGACCATTGCAGTATCCTCATGGTCATGTGATCAGCATTTGGATGCTTGGCTACTGGTTCATATTCACAATGCCTGCAGTGTCCCCTTTTGTGACCTTCTGACAAGCAAAGTAAATGGGGAAGCCAGATTTACTTAACAACCGTGATACTAACCGAACAACTGCAATGATTCACTTAACAACTGTGGCAAGAAAGATTCTAACTTGGGGCAAACTTCATTTAACAACTCTCTCATTAACAACAGAACTGTTGGGCTCAATTGTGATCCTAAGTCAAGGATTACCTGTATTATAGCAAATAATGCAATTGAGCTGTTAAAACTTATAAATTTGATGCATACTTTGCGTCTCTGTGTATAGGCAATCATAACAGAATATGATTATTATCTCACCATTGGGAGAGAGAGGAGTCAGTATCTGAACTGAGGAAAGTAGGATCTTGCCAATGCTATAAAGATGGCGGTGGCAACAGTGCCAACCGGGAAAACGGTT